ATACTGTAATTCTGAAAATGAGCCACTGTTTCCTTTTGAAATTGAGCTTCCCAGTGTCCCTGATCATGAACCCATTAACCCTTTACACCCTATCATCAGTATGTGTCTTCTCCATACTGTTTTCTAAACATTTCCTGCCGAGCTGACAAAGAGAATTTGGTAAACAGTCAAGAGCTTTTTTAGTTGGTGATCATTTCCTTTATTTCTGTGACCTTAATGTTTGTCATTCAGGGGGTGATACTTCAAAGAGAGATTAGATGCTAGTCACTGTTAGTTGTCAAATGGTTAAAGAACTGTCCAATGTTTACATAATATTCTCAGTAAGTTTCTGTACCTATAGTCTCTGTAAAAGGATTTTACAAGGATCAAACTGTTGTTCCTGATTTCTTGTGTGAAATGTTAGATGTAAAACCCCATAATGTTGAAGACAGTAGATTTGAACCTGACAGACGGAAGCTTGAGAATTAGCCATACACGGTGAGTTGCTATGTTCTCTGTTCTCTAACCATTATTATTATAAATATTTGTGTACAGGTCTGTTCATTGTGGTGGTTTGTGAATTGTGGAGGGTTTACACTAAGCTGAATAGTGGAAAATCCAGGCCTGCAACTGATCATGGCTATTCTGCCCGAGAGAGACAAACAAATCTATCCAGAGATAAAACGTGTCGGGGACAACGTCATTGGAATTCCAACGCAGTGTGTTCAGTCAAAACACGTACACCGTACCAACCCCCAGGTTTGCGCCAACATCGCGTTGAAGATTAACTCCAAACTTGGTGGAATTAATCATGTTATAGATCCAGGTGAAAAGTCGCCTGTTTTTCGAGAATCTGTTATTATCTTTGGCACCGACCTCACCCACCCCTCCCTGAATGAAAATGGAATTCCTTCCATTGCTGCTGTTGCAGCAAGTATGGACGCTAATGCCACTAAGTACTGTGCACGAGTGCGAGCACAGAACCACAGGAATGGTAAAGGTGCGCAAGAAATAATTAATGACTTAGCGGAAATTGTGAAAAAGCTTTTAATTGAGTTTTACAGAGCCAGATCATCTTCTACCGTGACGGAGTCAGTGAGGGTCAGTTTGACCAAGTTCTTGCTCATGAGGTGCGGGCTGTACAACAGGCCGGTATTATGCTTGAAAAAGATTATCGCCCGAGAATCACTTTTGTTGTGGTTCAGAAGCGCCATCATACGAGATTGTTTTGTGAAAACCAACGAGATGAAGTTGGCAAAGCTAAGAATGTTCCTCCTGGTACAACAGTGGACAGCGGTATCACACATCCGTACGAATTCGACTTTTATTTGTGCAGTCATTATGGAATCCAGGTACATCAGCTTTGACATGACATGTCGAGTTTTTACTCTGAGAATGGTGATTGGGAGCTTGATTATTCTTTGTCAAACAAACCCTTACCTTTCCTTAGGTACATTGTAGCTGTGCTATCTACAGTTACCTACCAACTGCTCAAATAGCTACGGCATTTTTTGTCTCTTTGTGTCTAGTCTTCTACCCATCTTTGAACGTGTGAAAGAGCGCCATCCTCTCCACACATTTCATAAATATAAGTACAACTCTGACATGAATCACAAGAGGTTTGCTGAAATCGTGGACTAGTATAGGATGATTTGCATACGGGTTGTCAAATTCAAAAAGTCTCGAAGGCATTCAGGTTTCCGAATCATCCCGTTCCCAAGTCTCTCACGGAAAAATTTTTATCCATATGGATGGCATTATTATTCCTGCTGTGACATTATCCGAAAAAAGAGGAACAATTGTATACATATATTTCTCTTCCACGAACTAAAAATTTTATAACATGGCTTTAGGACAGCAGTGTAAACTTTCTGGAACAACAACCTACCCAGTAACCTAAGTCAGACAAAATCATAATTTAGTTGATTCAAGCTATTTCTTGGTTTTTATTTTGAAGCTAGTGAAACACCAATTTTGTGATCAGGTTGAGCTCGTATGGTTGTTTTGTTTGAGGACGTTTTAAGGCTGCGTGAGACGTAGTTCCCTTTGTTAAAACAGTCATTTATTTCTTCTTTTTTTCTCGAGGAAGTTTACTGTGATTTTGATTTTTTTACTGTGATTAATATGAAGAATATCTCATTCACAGCAGACGCCTTCAGCAGCTCACATACCAGCTATGTCACGTGTACGCACGGTGCACACGCAGTGTTTCTATGCCAGCCCCCGCCTATTATGCCCACTTGGTGGCTTTCAGAGCCAGACACCACGTGACCGGAAATGAAAGGTTAGTGTTCACAGACTTGATGGCCCTCGTATTTTTATTGAAATTTGTGTTCAAGTTATTACTTTGTCTCTCTGTCTTACTTTGGACTGTCAGTTGCTTAAAAAACGTTTGTAACTTTTTAGCACCGCTAGTCCTTACTTAACATGATTCCTCTTCCGAGCCAGTTTACTTGTAAAGTTTTATTAAAAGTAGAATCTTCTTGTTTCAGTATCGACCTGGTGAAATCTGCAAAAGCCATCGAAGTCAACGCAAAGATGAAAGGAGCCATGTACTTTACTTAGCTATTCAGCGGGAATATGATGTGCACATGTGCAATTTAACGTATTGGCAATGACGAACACAACGAAAGATGGAAGCTGTTTTGTTGTGTTATAATTGTTATAAATTAGTACTGACTCCCAGGAGTGATCAAAGTTTCACTTCTCCTTACGATTCATATATGTTGTCTTACAAACAGTTTAGGAGATTAGCCATGCTTATTAGCCGGAGTGATTTCTGATATAACACCATATTAACCAGTCTCAATCAGAGGGAATTGTATGTCAGTTAGAAGAGAGAATTGCCGCTTGGATCTGGGAATTAAATGGTCCAACCAGAATTAGCAAAAAAGGCGATTATTGCCAGGAAGACGTTATTTAAATAACTGCTCGTGTTCTCCTTATTTTGTTAAAAATAAAAAAGGGTTGGGCTGCTTAGAGGTATCACGCTTGATTTGAGCAAAATTATATTGAAAAAATGAGGTAAACTAGATTCAGTTCAATTGTTAATATTATCAAAACAGTTTGTATAAGAAAAATGTAAATGGAAGAGACATTGCCTCCTCACAAATGTTACACGTTGTGATAGAAAAGAATAAATGTATTAAAATGGTTGTTTGACATGGTTTGATGCTACTCTGGTTTTAAGATTTAACGAATGTAACGGAGAAGTTACAATTTATAGACCCAACGTTTCGACACTCCTGTCTAGTGGCTTCATCAGGGGTGATCAAACGCTACAACAAGAGGTCCTTTTATACGCTCTCTAATTAGCTGCCCTTTTTTCTGACGAGGTGTAAATAGGCGTCAGGAAGTAAGTAAATAGCGTCGGTTCGTTGTTCTTTCGTGACAGGATCCTTGGGTTGGCAAAAATATGCCCCAAAGTCTGAAAAGGTTTTTGAGCAACTTTAACGTTGTGGCCATTCAAAATTCTCTTGATGGGTTCCGTAACACCCTGAATGTAGGGAATAACAGCAAAACCAGTCGCTGGTTCCCTCTCATCAGTAGTGCTACTAGTTGTAACTGGTTTTCGGCAGTTACGGAGCGAGAAAAGTTTCCCATTTCTGCCCGCAGTTTGTGGCTTTCTTGATTTGTGTACTGTTCGTAGGTTAAGTTCTTTTGTTTTGCAGTTCTAACTAAAGTCAACTTAGTAAATATTTGATGAGTTGCCAGTGGTATTGATATTTAAACATCTATCTTTTTCGTGAAGAGCTCAATGAGTAAAGGTCTGAAATTCCAAAGGCGTATTTCTATAGTAACAGCATTCGCCGCGTTCAATGTGTTATGATGTGAGCTGGAGACAGGTCGAGTACGAAAATACAAAACCTGTTGGAAAACTTCTGAGAGAGATGATTTTCTGAGAAATTTACGGATGAGAACAGAATATACTGTTGTCGCGTCATAGTGCCTGGTTAAGACAATTCGAGAAACATACGTCCTAAGCAATTGTCTTTCAGCAAACAGAGAAACGAGAAACGGGAGACACGGTTAACAAGATCCGTAAAATCAATGCCTTTTCCAATTTTCCTCATCCTGATTGTATATTTACCTTACTTATCCTGTTTAGTCAAATTTCACCGACCCCAATCCTTCAATCCAGTCCCTGATAAACCTTCTACTCTTAAGCTGAGCCATCTGAAGGACTTTGACCCTTATCAGGCCGCAACACGATTCCGACATGTTTTCCTTCTCTTGTCACATATTTGCACTATTTCTGCCCTACCTCGCTTGCTCTGGTGCGTTTTCACAACCCGGCTAATTCTTAGCAAAAATAATTTGTTTGATACATCAATGCAAACGGAGAAGTTCAGCCACATTTCGACCTTACACAACTCCACAGCACGCTCGGCTTGGTTTTGAACCGCGGTAGGCTGTCACGGGAAGTTGCGGCACTGTATGGTGATTTGAAACGGCCTGCGTGCTTAGAATTCCCTTGGTCACTGAGTTTGGCACCGATCATATTTAGAAAGCTATGATCATCGTTTCAGCATCGATTTTCTCGGAAAATATTAGAGGGATGAAGCTCAAAATCAGTGGATCTGAAACAAAAAAAAAAATCCAGCGCTGCTGAAGTTCGAAAAAATAAACTATAATTTTGAAGAGAGACGCACTTACTAACCGCTTCATCCTGCTTAAACTTATGAGACAACCAGCTACTTTAATGCAAACAAGCTGGGTAAAGACAAAAGAGCCTCCATAAATATTAGGTTTCCCTAGAAGGGTTCGTAGTCATGGTAACGGTGACGTTTTCACAATTCAAGCTTGGGTCAATGGAGGCGGATATGTCTGTGGACATCTTTGGAGTCGGTTTCCATTGAAGGATTCGTAGTCATAAGGTGACTACGAAAATCCATAAATTGCCAAAGCAGGAACATATCTCACATAGGCTTTCCATTACTAAGGGTGATTAATTAGAATAAAGACCCACTATCATCATCATACACCGTTCATCCAAGTTACCCACAATGCGTGATCCCAGGACAGGCAGACGCGACTTGAGAGGATAATAATTTGAAATTCTGAAACTGATAGGGTGGTGAAAACCGCTCAACTTTGCGTGACCAATTGAGACAACTCCTTCCGCTATCGTAAGTGAGTCAAAAGCGCCCATGAAATAAACCACTAGAGCCTTTTCAAGAATTGAAACTGTGCTACATCGCCATGTCTTATTACACATACAGGGGTCTGCTCTCTAAGATAGGCCGACAACTCAGTCAGCATGATCATAAACAGTTACTCGAGACGTGTGGATTAGAAGACGAGGCTGATAACATACCAGACGCCCGTTCATTATTGAAAAGACTAGAAGGAAAGAGTCACTTGGGAATTGACCGACTTGGAGTTTTGAAGGAGGTCTTGAATACTTTAGAAGAGTTCTCTCTGTTGGAAAAACTTATGGAGTTCGAGAAGGAAAGGAAAGGATGCAAAAACTTCCTTGCAAAGATAAGTGATGCACTCGATAGCGACGAACGCAATCATCTGGAACAACTCAAGGATATTTGCCGTAGAAGACAGACATCGTTGGAGCTTGATGAGAGTATTTCCAATATTCGAACATTGTTCGAAGAACTGGAGAAACATGAAAGTTTGGACTTTTGCGCACTTGACTTTCTAAAAGAGATTTTGACAGAAATAAAGAAGGAGGACTTGCTGAAAGAGATCGAGGAGTATGAGCAGCGACGAAATAAGAACCATACAGCAGAAATAAGAAAAGGTAAATAAAAATTTTGAGTTTGCGTATGAAAACGCTCAAGGCAGTTGAGTTTAGTAGGAGCATACGAGAGATCACCGGAAGCGAATATTACACAGCAGAATATTACGTACGTTTTCGCACCCGCATATCATTGAGCTAATGTAGGATCGAATTTTTCCTCGATCCTCGGTGGAGTTCGTGTTTGAGTGGTGTCTCTCGTGATAATTTTGTTCTTATTTTCTTTTCATTTTAAGCGAAATTTTACTCTATGGGCAAAGTCGTGACCGATAAGGTGGCAGAAGGTAAGTAGAACTTTTCCTCTTATAATATGAAGTAGTTGTTCGCTTCCATTAAAATTTACAAGGTATTATGAAGTGATATATTAAGTTTGTCAGAGACGACCAATTCAGGTGATCTTTGAGTGGAAAAAGCCTTCTTAAGCTTTTACCGACATAATAACTGAGGCACTTCCAGTGGATGTTGTATGTATTTCGATATCGTTGCTGTGTAGCAGTACGTCTTTGCAGGTCATTTCCAATGATGAGGTGGTGCGGCAGCAGGCAATACGCATAAGCATACTTCATAAGACTTTACCATTATCAATAATGCTTACATAGGTAACTGCACGCCGGAAAATCTGTCCTTAAGATGCTATTAGATCGTCTTTATTCCTAGAGTTTTCAGGCCTGTAGAGTTCCCAACTAGGCATAGCCAGAATGTTCCTGGGTAGCCATGAAGTCGTTCGTTCTATGCCTACCCGCTTTTTTTTCAAAAGGTTCGTGTAAAGGATGCAACACTCATGTTTCGTTATTTGCCTTTAACTATCGTTTCTGGTTTTGTCTGCTAAGAGAATATCATTAATCTACATGTTTAAGAAAAAGCTTGCTCTGATGGGGCTTTAGTAGCGCCCAAGAAATACGGTTAGACGAGTAAATTGTATAGGAGAGTTGATTGTATGTAAAGAGAACCTTTGTTGTTATATATTTTTGGACTCCTTTTCCAGCTTCAGCGTTTGCTAAGCTTGACCTGAATGCAGCTGTGGTAATTTAATGCGTGATCACAGAGTTGCATACAAATGTTTGGTCTTGGGGATAGAATAGTAGTGTAATAGAATAGTAGGGTTGTTCAGTGGGTTGTTTGCTTGTAATTCCCACTTTACTAAGAAGTGTGGCTATCAGGCCAAACTTCTTAACAAATAGAGAAAGAGTTAATTTCAGCATCTTCTGTGAACTGAATCCGTTTCAGGTAATTTATAATCTTTTTCTAAGCTACTGTCCTGGTGGTAAGGGATGTTCGCCCCAACTCATTTAATGTCTTCCAAACTCTCTCAAAGGGCTGAAGAGTTTGTTCCAAATATCATCAATTTATATTTGAGGCAGTTTACATGAAAATCTCTCTCCAGTTAAGGATAAGGTTCTTGTAAAGACTATATTCACTACATTAGAGCACAGTTAATTTGCAAGGGATAAGATTTACACAAACTAATGACCATATACATATTTCTTGTCTCCATCATCCGCATCATAAGCATCAGTAACATCTTCTGACTAGTACAGAGGTGAGCAGCCTCCATCCTAACTGAAGAATATTTTTTTATTTGCGTTGTCTTCGTTCATTTCTTTCCATACCTTCAAATTCGACTCCTTCTATTCCTGAAACACTATCAAATTTCATGATGACGATGATGTTGATTATGATGATTTTGGAGTGACCAAAAAAAATTATCAACGAAACGTTCATTCTTTGATTGAAATTTAGTAAGAAATGTCTTTTGAAAATTACCCTTTATTCTTTTTTTAAATTTTGTTTTCACTAGTTCCTTTAAAGACGTGGATCGAAATTTCTAGAAAACTTCTGCCTTGGCACAGCATCTTGAGCTGCTTTGAGAGTGTTTCGCAGTGTTTTAGAAGCTTTGAAAAACAGGTTCTTCCCCCTGATACAGAACTCGCCGACATGGGTGGAGGGTGTGTCTGCTTCACAGTTCAGGCAAGCAATTTAAAGGGGCTTACCACTTTGTGGAAAATGTACCAGGACGGCACACTGAAGGCACGCCTGTACGACTTCTTGGTGACTGAAGTTAGGCATCTTGCTGAAGCTCAGGAGAATGTTGAACTAACAGTAACAATCGAGGAAGAAGAATACAGGAGAGCTTTCGTTTATCTAAATAATGAAGCCAAAGGTAACTAAAATAATGTACTCTGCAAAACGCATAAAAATTAGTTCAACAGGATCATTTTCGTGTAAGATATTTAACTGTATCGCAAATCAGTTTTCATTTCGTCTTCAAATAAGTGTTTCGACCCTTAACCAACCATGACCCATACTCTATTTGTTGTGATGAACACTGGACGAAAAATGGATTTGCCTGGGTTGCAAATGTTGAGCAAATATGAAACAAATTTCACTTTTGCCTAAGTTTGCTAATTTTTGCTCAGTGGTAAAGATCATCTTTGCATCATATTTGCTTACGTGCTAAATGTTGGGCGCTGTTATGCAGTTGACGTTACTTTACACCCTTCGCAAATATGTGGTCAAATTTATATTTTTGCCGATGTTTTTCTGAGGTAGCAAAATAGGTGCAAACTTTGGACAGCATACAAGTTTGCTTAGTTAAGCAAATGTGTTCAAACTGTTAACTTTGAACAAGTTTACAGTGGTTTGCAAATGCTGCCAAATCATCGTCATTGAACCCCTTTGCTGGGGTGGTAAATTTGTGCAAAATATCAACAATGAACTTGTTTGCTAGGTTTGTCATGTGTGTAAAGTATCAACACTGGACAAGTTTGCTTCGGTTTGTGTTTGTGTTCCAAACATAAGTATGCATGTAGGTTTGCACGCATTTGAAATATTTGCTCCGGGCTAGGTACGTGGTTAAAGCATCGATACTTATTCAAATTTACTCTGCATTGTGAATCTATTTAAGTATTCGATCTGTAGCCATGCTTCGGGGATTCTCTTCGATTATTGTACTAAGGCCTCCATACGCTTGAAAAACCTTTCGCTGCTGATCTTGTCGGTCTTCGGTACCATTTTGCGGGTTGCTTTCACGTGAGACTTTCGACTCATGTATTTAGATCTTTAACAAATCAGTTCTTTATGGCTGGTTGCTTTTCTGAGCTTCAGGCGGTCTTTGCAAACTGAGCCGTGACTCAACAATAATTCAAACACAAACACCGAGTCCCATAAAGCAGCATAAAGGCTTCATAAGTCTTTCTTACAGCTTCCTCGATTTGTTGGGCTTTGCTTGTTCAGTTTCGCATCTTGTAAAGAACGGCAATGGTTTTCTATCGAAGAACCTCAACCGGCGCTTGCATTTGAATCCATCGTTGGAGATTTGAACGCATCCTTCAAGCGTCCGTCGATGAAAACCGGCGTTCGATTGGTTAAGGATGAGGAAAAGGTTAATGATTTAAGTAGCTACGCAATGAACACAATAAAGGCTTCGTTTCCGCCGACCAGCAATATTGGGGTTCAAACGTTTTTCTCGTGCTCATTTTCGAATAGGCGGGATAAGAAAGGCATAGTGAATGTAAACAAGATCAGCGAGAGTGCCTGAGGATGCATATTTCTCTGCATATTTCTCAAGCGGTCTTGAATTTATTACTTGCGACACAAAGATCCTAAGGTAAGCTATTGTTCGAACTTTTCGTCTTGAAATCACTTCATTCATTTACTGATCACGCGTGAATTTGAGACGAAAACAGAAAGCAATTCAGACTGTGAAAGTCATGTTTACACTTCTGAGAAAAAAGAAGACAAAACAAACAAAATCAATAAGAGATGGCCTTTGTGCAACTTTAATCACAAAGCTTTTGATTTGGAGTGAGGCTGAAAGTAACCGTGTATCTAGTTAGTATCTAGTTAGCATCTAGTTAGCATAACAACAAGGCAATGTACGTTTGAAAAGCAACAAGGTTTGTATCATAACAAAGTCTCATTTAGCCTGACTCCTGTTAAAAGGCTTGGCAACCAAGCACGCAACTGTAAAATGGACTATTCCATGAAGTGCATGAATTCCGTTGTTCTTGTGACAAGGTAACTCCGCAAACAAAGTCACAGATCATGTCATGATCAAGAGAAAACACAATGTAAGAAGTAGTTCTAATGTAACTGTCGTTCGACAAACAATCACAATGATCACTAACTCCGATCTCACAATCTATCAACTCAAATCACGTATCATATTCCTTCAATGTAACGCTTCGGTTACGACACTCTCCCCCCCCCCCCCCCCATATTTGACTCTCAATGAGGCAAATGTAGAACACGATAAATCTACTGTCTGAAAACACAACTGAAACTAATTTGAAAGTGAAATGTCACTTGTAAAGTCTAATCCTCGTTTAGTTCGTCTTGAGCTATAGCAGCTATTCGCTGGCGTGCATCTGCTGCGGCTCTTCCCGGCAGGAATTCTCTGGCATCAGCTCTTAGCGTCTCTCCTCTCCTTCGTTCAGATCTGTCGCAAGTTAATTCAAGAGGATACAGTAGCTGCAGTAGTCTCTCAGGGTGTGTCTTCCCAGCTCGAAGCTGCGCCCCTCTTATCACTCCGTCTCGACCTTGAATCAGGCGTTCCACTACACCAACTTCCATTTGCCTCTTACGCTTCTCTCCCTTGATAAAGATCACGTCTCCTTCTTTTAAGGTAGCTTCTTCCGTTTGATGGTTGAGATCGTGACGCTCTCTTAGGGCCTTTAGGTACTCGGTTGTCCATCTATTCCATAGGACGCCCTTACATTTCCGTAGGTACTTGGTTTTCTGAGGTCATAATCAGCATTTGTTGGTTCTTCAGGAATTTGATTTGGCTGTCCAAACAGCATAAGGTTGGGGTCAAAATTGGCATTTGAATATCGTCTTCTACATAACCAAGAGGTCTGTTGTTAAGGGTTGTCTCCACATCCAAGATGACCTCTTCCAATTTATGCCAGCGCAGGTGACCGTTTCCGATTGCTTTGTACATACTCTGCTTCATGACGCCAATCAACCTTTCGAACTGACCGCCCCACCATGGAGCTCTACTGAGATTAAACTGCCACTGGATGTTTTGCTTGGCTAGCCAGTCGTTCATCTTCTCATCTTGTTGAACGTTCTTTAACCATTTGCGTGCTGAAACTAAGGTTCTCCCATTATCGGAGAAGATTTTTTCTAGCCGTCCTCGTCTCGCCACGAAACGTTTCAGACTGCGTGAAAACTGTTCCGTTGTTTGATCTGGTTGTAGATCCAAATAGACGGCACGGGTTAAGCTGCATGCAAATGATGGAATATATACCTTCATCTCCCTTTTCTTCTTGCTGAAGTACTTGATAGGCCCAGCAAAGTCGACTCCGATGGACTTGAAGGGCACTGATCCTTCTGTTCTTTCCTTGGGTAGGTTTCCAGTCGATGGGTTTGCTAGAGCGGTTACGTGAAAGCGTTTACACCCACGGCACTCATTTATTACTCTCTTTGTTAGTCGTCTGAGGCGAGGTATCCAATATTTCTCTCGTATCTTCGCCATCGTCAAACTGACTCCCCCATGGAGAGTCTGAAGGTGGGCGTGCATTACCAGCTTTTTGCTGAACAAAGCATCATCTGGAAGATAAATGGGGTAGTCTCCCTGGATACGCCCTCTGCATTCGTACAGACCATCTGCGTTCTTCTGGAGATTGAGACGTTGCTGATCTTCCTGAAACCTGCTCGTACCCTGGCATTTGACTTGTGTCCCTTTTTCCCAGAACTTCATCTGCTTACTAGTTTCTTGAGTGGTTTTTGTCCGGTGATTATTTACTGGCGTTGGCTCTGCAGTTTCGAATAAAGCGCAACACCCACGACCCGACTCGGATGGTTGTCCACAGGTCCCATTTCTGCATCAGCTCATCATGTCCGTCTTTGTTTCAATGGTGACTGTTAGTACTTACCTAATGATTGTGGCTCAGCTTGCGTCTCTGTGGTCGGACTTGGCTTCTTAGGACTTCTACTTTTCCAGTCAACACTCTTTCCCAGTTCTCCCACGCGATCTTTAGCTCTCTGGGAACACCACAGTCCCAAGGTACTCGGGCGTCGCATGTTTCTCTGTACAGCATCCTTCCAGCTAAGGTGACGAGTGAAGCTAATCCCAAAGGGTCGTATATCTTGGCTATCTTCCTGTGGATTTCTCTCTAAGTTACTTTGACGATTGGGACGGGAAAGGCCACTTTTATTGTGTCCACTGTTTTGTTCCACGGTCTGCCTAGCAGTTTGGTCTCCCCCATCTTTACACCCATATAGTGCTTGGCGAAGCTTTGGCTTGTATTTAGCACAGTAGTTGGTTGTTGCCCTGGTGTTTCCTCCACGGGCGTGGCAAGGCTGTGACTTGCTTCCTGTTGAGTGGTTGAATGTTCTTCTGCCGCTTTCTCTGAGGATGGTGGCTCTTCTAGGGATAGCACATTTGAATGCCATATGTACAACTGGAATCTCCCTTCTCTGAAAGTAGCCTGGGCTGCTTGCTTCAAGTGTTGTGTCTCGATTACAGTTGTTGCACCAGTAATCAGGTAGTCATCATAGAGGCTCCGTCTAACTTCTTCGACTTCGTTTGGGAAATTCTGCTGAAGGTTTCGCAGGTGCTGATCTATAATTCCTCCATGAAGGAATGGTGATGTGGACAGCCCGAATAGTGCTCGTGTGAATCTGAGTGTCTCCACTTGCATGGTCTTTAGGTCCTTCAACCAATGAAATCGCATCGCGTCTCGGTCTCCCTCTCTGATCCTCACTTGCAAAAACGCTTGTTTTAGATCGTCTGCTAGAGCCACGGGACAGTCTGTCTTCCGCACTACGGCTTTGTGTGGAAGGTAGAACTCTTTTCCTTCTGGTTCCTTGAGCGCTCGCTACACCATTCCCTGCGTCAAGTCTGGATGTCTGGGTCAGAAACATCTTGGTTAGGTCTGGTTCGCTCCCAGAAGACATAAGGGTCCATCCAAAACGCGTAAGTTCAGCTATCGGTTCTCCAGGTTTCCCCATTTTGGGTGTGGTCTCCGTCTTGATTCTTGCGTATTCGCTTGTTCCGAGGATTCAGTGGACGGGGAGCTCTCTCTTCAATTCAACATCATCTATTTCCACTCCTCTCAGGTGGTCATACTTCGCTAAGATGTCTTTGTACCAAGGATTGGTTAGGGTTAGTAACACACCACGTTCACCTTTGTTATCTCTGTGCGCGGGTGAAAATTTCCCGAGAGGTTTTCAATCACCACGTCTGGATTTCGATTTCTTTGTCTGTTGTTTGCATGAGCGTTTCGATCCTTCTGAACTCTTTCCGCACTGGCTGTTTACCTATTCGACCAAGTAAGGCTGCTGACGCGTATGAGTTTCCGGCTCCAGTGTCCAGTAGCGCACGGCACCGAATACCACAAACTTCAACGACAACCACCGGGTAGGTTACACTGCTTTTCCCAGTGGCAACTAACATGTGCTCAGGTTTTTTGTATCCAAACAGAGATGTTCTCGCAGATTGATGAGTGGTGTCTCCTTCGGCAGTGTGAACATTTCGTAACGCAGTGGCACTCCTCGGCTCTGTGATTTGGACCGGTGCAGCTAAAACATAATTGCTTTTGGATAAGTAGCTTTCTTCGTTCGGAGACCGACGTGACGTTATCGCAGTTTGTCGATAAGTGGTTTGGCTGGTCGTAATGGACGCATGGTCTTCTTTTTACTTCACGTTGATTTGTTCTTTGATTTGTTTGATCTCTTTTCTCGTCGATTTTCTTCTCATGTTTAAGTTTCTGCTCTAGTTTGGCTTTCTCTAACTTCACTTCATCGTCGAATTTCTTCTTTCTTTTTTTTTCGGCTCGCTCTTCTTCTTCCTTCGCTGCGGTTTCCATTTCGACCATTTCGGCACCCTCAAATTCTTTAATCGTTAACTCGGCTTTCTATAATTCACCCTCTCTTTCTTCATGTCTTCTTTATCTTCTTCAGCTTCAAACCTATTTTCTTGGACGGTTATCTTAAGGCCGTGAACTTCATCGACTTACTTTTTCAATGTGTTACGCAATCTGTCCGCGGACGTGATGTTCTTCTTATCGATCGCGTGACCGATTGCTCCTTTGTAATCTTAAGGATTTCCAGCTTCGCGTTACTTAACCCTTTAACTCCCAGATGTGAATAACGTGCAACTTCTCATAATAATATCCATACATTATCCAACAAACATGCAATGAGAATACTCAAACTTATCAGATAGAAGCTGTTATCTTGATTTAACACCAAATTCTCGCAACAAATTTACGAGGAAATTTGTAGCTGCCAGAGGGGAGAATTAATAATTAGGTCTTTGGAGTTAAAGGGTTAAACCACATCTCCATAAGCTGACAGATCTGTCTATGGTTCTTCACAAACAAACATTCATGCTTCATTGCTTCAATGATGAAGAGGAACTATTCTGGGTTGACATAGGGACAGATGAACAACCATTTTGGTAAAGATGATTGTGCTACTAGTAAGCTAGTTAAACAAACTAGTATAGTGTGGTGTACAAGATACAGATCTAAATGATTGAGTCAAAGTAGAAAAAAAAATATCTCAAGCAACTTGATCCTTAAATACTTTTGTAAATTATATATTTTAAAAGGTAATGTGTACCTATATAAGGAGAGAAGGAAGAATAAAAATTGAATGCAATTCATTGTGTTTTAGTAGGACTTACATTAGTTTAATAATATAGAAATGTTGCTCTTGTGAATTTTTCAGTTCACATTGTAAAATATGTTTTTACTCATTTTTTTATGATGAAGTAAACAGTGAGCACAATGTCACATTTTCATCACATTTGCGCACCAAGACCGTAGGTGCAAATCAGCATATTTACATTTTTCCGCAAACGTGGTACAAATTTAGATCACTAAATTTGCTTCATATTTGCACACTTGGCAAACCCGAGTAAATCCATTTGTTCGTGGAGGGGAAGGGCTAACTCTCGAAACTTCAGCTAAGAAACTCACGGTGGCCTGCAAATTGTCTATTTTTAGGTCATGTGAAGGTGCCAGGAAGAAAATATGAACCCTCTGATTCAGTGATATCAACAACGCCGAACGAGGATGAAACATTGCAAGTAAAAGTGAAAAGACTCGAGAATGATTTCCAACTTCTAAAGGAGAGAGTGGAGAATCAAGAGACACAAACGACCAGACTTCCACTTGAGTTTTTGGAGACAAGGATGGGCACGGAAATAATTCCAGCAGAGGAAGGTAACTAAATTATGCAAACATTCAAGCTAAGCTAAACAGTCAAACCTTTATTAAGCAGTCACCCACGGGGAATGACGGGGTTGCCGCTTAATACAGGTTAACCGCTAAATACATAGATATGGGTATGATAAAAACCGAGGAAAAACGCCATTTTATGCCATAACAGACAAATTATTTTGAAAAAACGTATTCAAAAGTACTATTAACATTGATTTTGGGAGATGGACTGAATTTTACTTGAAAGATTATTCTTAATTAGTGGAGGATTTTCTTGGGGGAACACATGGTTTTCATAGGGGATCAGTCGTAACCAACATGATATAAAAGGGGGGGACTGTAGAAAATTATCTGCCATTTTACTGCCACCAAGGGAAGGGGGTCATAAGAAGACAACAGAGCTTTTGGGGTAAGGGGGTAGTCAGGTAAACTTTTTCGTGTCATAACCAAATTCCTCCAACGAAAGAAAATCTGAGATTCGTTAGAAATGTTTACAACTGAATTGAAACAGATCAGGCCTTTCGAGATTTCATTCCTTACATGCTCGCAAATATCTGTGCTTTACTGACTTTCCTTACAAAGGCTTTTCAGAGACAATGTATTTAGACATTCTAGCCTTTTAATATATCAAATTAGATATGTACATGTGCGCGGAAAATTTGATGATTAAATTGATAAAAGCGAGAGTAGATTATACCAAGAGATTGTTTGTATTCTCTTGATTATACCTCGACCGCAAGCGGAAAGCTTGCGAGGAGCGCCATAGTTTATTTCTTAAAGTTTTTCTATCTTCAACCTGCTCCCACTGCAAACTGTTAAACATCCAAAAAGCTTCTCAACACATAAATGCATTCTTACTCTAAAATGACATTTTTAGGCAAAAACATGCTGTTTCTTTATGTTTTTTTTTAGTTCAGATTGCCAGTTACGAAAGGCTCGGAGACAAGCTACGGGGTATTGACGAACGCAAATGGAATATGACCAAAATGTACGTGGAAGGTCTACAGTTTGAGACGAAAAGTTTAATGTCTGAAGCTTATGACTCTGAAAGCGGTATAGGAACTGAAGGAGCACCCTCTGAATTTGACGTGGATATCGGTGGTCAGTATCGAAAAGTCAAAATTACCAAGCTTAGTGTCTTTGATAATAATAATAATAATAATAATAATAATAATAGTAAAACTTTATTTAAACACGATAAGTATTTAAAGCCAGAGGTTTGTGGGGTCGTGTTACAATAATATAACGTAAAAAAATATTAATATATAATAACATTTATAAATATATTTAAAAATATGAAAATTATGTTCAACCCCTTTCAAATAATACAGCAATATATCTCTGACACTGCTAAGCAGTCACTCCGGATCCAACAAACACCACCAAACCAATAGTTTATTGATTTCTATTGATATTCATCGAATTCAAAACGACTGCCCAATAGTGATGGTTAAGTCAATCAATCCAATGCGATATTTAAATGTAATATCAAGATTAACTCAACCATGTCTCAAGAATACATGTACATATCATTATATTTTGGTTTACATCGATCAGTCAAACGATCAAAACTGAAATGTAAGAAATCACGTGACTTAGTTAAAAGTTTACAGAAATGCTTTATACTCTTAGAATCTATGTAAAAAGCTATCATTCTGTTCTTGTTTAGTTTTTGATCTTGTTGTGATGACAGCAAGAAAAACCGTTATCATTCTTCGTGAAATGCTGGAAACCGTGTTTGAAATGTTCTGTATAGAAGGTGAACTTATTCTTTGAATGCCGCAGAACCCTCGAACAAAAAAAGTTATCTTTCAAATCGGCACTCTTAGTCCCAGGTTATCAACGAACACTTTTCGTTCAACTTATCTATGCTAGTTACCATGTTCCCACCAAAAGCGTTGATCCATTTTCTGCATAGAAACACACACAGGAGCCACAATTCCTTCATTCGCTCTGACGAAGGGCTAAGGCACGACACTTCAGCTTTGAAACCCTTAATGATGGCCGATCTACGTTAAACTTATCAACTCAGTTGATAATACCAAATTACCTTGCTAAGTATTATTATTATTACTAGTAATAACCAAAGGTTAGGAAATGCGGGCGAGGACGATGTATTTTTGGCTATTTGGTTAATGAAAGATTTGGGGGCCCATAGGGAGAAAAGATTTGCTATGCGGGGTTGAAAATTTAGCCCATGAGGACACCCCCCGTGCTGCAATCGCTTTTTCCTCTATTTTGACACTAACAATAGGGTGATTTTAATAAACCTGTGAAGCAGTTACCAACACTCGATCATTCCACGAGACACTAGTCCCATTGTTTTTTTTTTTGCTTAGTTTTAGGAATATGCTGTAATTGTTGTTGTTTCATGGTGTAAAGAAAATCACTGTAGGTTATAAAATACGCGTATTGATCGAGTCAAAATGATTGATGTAACGCAACAATTATTTATTTATTACTGAAACGAAACGACCAATATATGAAGAGATTTCAGATTATTCCAAAATATAATGTATAAACGATCCCGTTCCAAGGACTGAAGGACGAACAACGCTCTTGCTCCACGCTTCTATGAGATCAAAGACAACAATCTCAGACTATACACTTGTCAGGTCAAGGACGAAAAACACCGACGCTCCACGCTTGAATTAAAGGACGAACAGATACAACTCTCTCTCTACGCTTGAGGTCAAGGACTAACAGACGAACAACACTCTCGCTACTCGCCTGAGGCGGAATGCAGCCGAGAAATGGCATCCAACGCGACATGAACGGAAACGTCGAATCCAGATATCGACACGCTTGATTTGGATTGGTCGGCGCTGCTGCTATGCGTTAGCTTCACGTGTTCCAAGGTCCAAATTACACATGATGCGCGTGAGAAAATAGCTTTCTTTGTATTCCATACATTCTCAGTGGCAGACTCACTATTTGAGCAAAAATCGAATCAGGGCCAAACTACACAGCTGCCCGCATGCGTTTGTAAAAGCAACGTTAAGATTAAGATTGCTTGCTCCTCTTGTCGCCCGCAGTTATTATTATTATTATTGTTATTATTATTATTATCATTGTTATTATTAATATTATCATTATGCCGAATAGAGCCGCTCAATTTGCGAAGCGAGCAAGCTGCGAGATACGATACCTTGAATTATATAACTAAAAAATGGAATGGAAGAACGGTGGATCGGCGTAATGACGGAATATCCTAAAACGCGGAATGCCGTTTTGTATGAAGAAAAATGTCTCAAAAAATGGAATCGCAATAAAATAATGAGAAGCATAAGTAACATTGTTGGGGCTCAGAGGATAGGGGAACTATAAGGCTTTTGAGCGAACCCCAGCAAAACTATATTCTTTCGCCATTATACAACCTCTAGTTCTTTCCAATGCTCTAAAAATTGTTTTATATCAGAAGCCAAATGCAATCTTTGACTGTCTATTTTTATACATTGAGTATAAACGTTCTTATTGTTACAAAATACGGAGAGGTATGTCTCTTCTGCTGTGAAATTTTTTTTCATTTATCTTTTTTTTCAGATAAACGTGACACTCAGACGATAGCACGCGACAATTGGAACTCACTGTCATCAGCTGTGCAGACTGGCAACTTTGCCATCATCGAGGATATGTTGTCACGTGGCCTGGATATCAACACAAAAAATAACGATGGTAAAACGGCTTTAATTTTAGCTGCTTCGACTGGCAAAATAGATGCCGTAAATTACCTCTTGGACAAAGGAGCTGATCCCTTTATTGAAGGCCACTCTGGCATTACTCCACTGCACGCCGCTTCACAGGGTGGTAATGTCACCATCATCGAGGGACTAATGTCACGTGGTCTAGATGTCGATTCAAAAGATAGTGGAGGGAGTACACCGTTGATGTTGGCTGCAGGTTTTGGCAAGATTGAAGCTGTAAATTATCTTTTAGACAATGGAGCCGATCCTTCTATTAGAAACCAGTTAGGAATAAATTCACTGCACGTCGCTTCACAGGGTGGTAATGTCACCGTCATCGAGAAACTAATGTCACGTGGTCTAGATGTCGATTCAAAAGATAGTGGAGGCAGTACACCGTTGATGGTGTCTGCAGTTTGTGGCAAGATTGAAGCTGTAAATTATCTTTTAGACAGAGGAGCCGATCTCTGTATTAGAGACCAGTTAGGAAGAAATTCATTGCACGTCGCTTCACAGGGTGGTAATGTCACCGTCATCGAGAAACTAATGTCACGTGGTCTAGATGTCGATTCAAAAGATAGTGGAGGGAGTACACCATTGATGTTGGCTGCAGCTTATGGCAAGATTGAAGCTTTAAATTATCTTTTAGACAAGGGAGCCGATCCCTGTATTAAAGAGCAGTCAGGAAGAAATTTACTACACGCCGCTTCACAGGGTGGTAATGTTGCCATCATCGAGACACTAATGTCACGTGGTCTAGATGTCGATTCAAAAGATAGTGGAGGGAGTACACCGTTGATGTGGGCTGCAGGATTTGGCAAGATTGAAGCTGTAAATTATCTTTTAGACAATGGAGCCGATCCCTGTATTAAAGAGCAGTCAGGAAGAAATTTACTACACGTCGCTTCACAGGGTGGTAATGTCACCGTCATCGAGAAACTAATGTCACGTGGTCTAGATGTCGATTCAAAAGATAGTGGAGGGAGTACACCATTGATGTTGGCTGCAGCTTATGGCAAGATTGAAGCTGTAAATTATCTTTTAGACAATGGAGCCGATCCCTGTATTAAAGAGCAGTCAGGAAGAAATTTACTACACGCCGCTTCACACGGTGGTAATGTTGCCATCATCGAGACACTAATGTCACGTGGTCTAGATCTCGATTCAAAAGATAGTGGAGGGAGTACACCGTTGATGTGGGCTGCAGGTTGTGGCATGATTGAAGCTGTAAATTATCTTTTAGACAAAGGAGCCGATCCCTGTATTAGAAACTGGTTAGGAATAAATTCACTGCACGCCGCTTCACAGGGTGGTAATGTCACCGTCATCGAGAAACTAATGTCACGTGGTCTAGATGTCGATTCAAAAGATAGTGAAGGAAGTACACCATTGATGTTGGCTGCAGCTTTTGGCAAGATTGAAGCTGTAAATTATCTTTTAGACAAAGGAGCCGATCCCTGTATTAGAAACCAGTCAGGAAGAAATTTACTACATGATGCTTCACAGGGTGGTAATGTCACCATCATCGAGACACTAATGTCACGTGGTCTAGATGTCGATTCAAAAGATAGTGGAGGAAGTACACCATTGATGTTGGCTGCAGCTTGTGGCAAGATTGAAGCTGTAAATTATCTTTTAGACAAAGGAGCCGATCCCTCTATTAGAAACCAGTTAGGAAGAAATTCACTGCACGCCGCTTCAAAGGGTGGTAATGTCACCATCATCGAGACACTAATGTCACGTGGTCTAGATGTCGATTCAAAAGATAGTGAAGGAAGTACACCATTGATGTTGGCTGCAGCTTGTGGCAAGATTGAAGCTGTAAATTATCTTTTTGACAAAGGAGCCGATCCCTCTATTAGAGACCAGTCAGGAAGAAATTTACTACATGATGCTTCACAGGGTGGTAATGTCACCATCATCGAGACACTAATGTCACGTGGTCTAGATGTCGATTCAAAAGATAGTGAAGGAAGTACACCATTGATGTTGGCTGCAGCTTTTGGCAAGATTGAAGCTGTAAATTATCTTTTAGACAAAGGAGCCGATCCCTCTATTAGAGACCAGTCAGGAAGAAATTTACTACATGATGCTTCACAGGGTGGTAATGTCACCATCATCGAGACACTGATGTCACGTGGTCTAGATGTCAATTCAAAAGATAATAACGGCAGAACCCCATTGATGTTGGCTGCAGCTTATGGCAAGATTGAAGCTGTAAATTATCTTTTACACAAAGGAGCCGATCCCTCTATTAGAGACCAGTCAGGAAGAAATTTACTGCACGCCGCTTCAACGGGCGGTAATGTCGCCATCATCACAAAAATGCTGTCACTTGGTTTGGATGTTAATTCAAAAGATATTAGAGGTCACACACCGTTAAAAATCGCAAAAGAATTCGGCAAACCTGAGGCCGTAACCTTCCTACTTAGCAAGGGAGGACATTAGTTTTTATTTCTTACTGCTCCTTTTAAATACGTCGTTCAGGTCCATAGTCGCGAAAAGAAACGATTGATAAATTTTACAATATTGAGTAAGACTGGATAATAATTAATTCATAATACCGCGAGAGAAGGAACAAATCTAGGAAGGCCTATCGATTCCCTCTTTGATTGTATAAAATAGATCGCCTGCACACGATGTCATCACAAATTTAACATAGCTTTACACCCTAACATCAGTATTCATGTCCTCCATACTGTTCTCTATGCATTTCCTGAGGTGCTGACAGGGAGAATTAGCTTAACGATCCAGAGCTTCTGTAGTTGTTGATCATTTCCCTTATTCTTATTACCTTAGTATATGATTCAAGGGTGATATTGTAAGGAGAAATTAGATGCTGCTCAGTCTAATGGGGTTAAAGGGTTAAGTTCAAATTTTTCGCCCTTCAGGCTTCTGTCATCAAGTTGTAATTTCATTCAATCATATATTAACTCAAATGTAGAGCTTTAAACCTTTCACTCCCAAGATCTCATCAGTAATTCTCCTCACTGTCTGCCATACAACTGTTTTTATGTTAATTTAGAGAATTTGGTATTAAATCAACCAATATTTACCTTGTTGATATTTTTCTTTATTCTCATAACTTGTCTGTTTGATATTGTATTGATACTGTAAGGAGAAATTCTGTCTTGGTTACTTATGGGAGTTAGAGGGTTAAAACTGTCCCATCGAGGAATCAAGAGCTCTTTCAAAAACCCCTTTAACCTGGTACTCTGGAACTTTGTATCATAGTTGTTTTATGATTTTTTATAAGATGCGTATTTTAAGATAAGAACTGCAGTGCACTGTTATTTGTTATCACCAAACTCAATTTAGAGTAGTGTGTATGGATGTTTTAACATTCCCATATAATTCAGTTATATATTCGCTATGCATTTCTAAACCTTAGCCTAAAGTATCAGTATTTCTAAAAGATATGCAGATGATATAGCATTCTTTTCTTATATTCCAAAGTGGAACTTGTGTCAAGTTCTAGACTAAAAGGCCATTACATTAGTCATTAAGGCTATTATATCATTGGAACTATACTCTATATATTTTTATCGTTATACATTGTTGGAACTTTGGAGTGACATTAACCATACGCTTTGATCATCCAGATGGAAGTAGTCCAAAATCTTGTCAGTGACAATAGCTTTGGTTTCAAATACATGAACAGAAGTTATCATTCAAATCAAGTGAAAAATTGTCAGTTCAATTCTGGTCCTTGAAAAGTGACAAATGTCATTTAGATGATCACACCACATTACTGAATGTTCTCCTTGGTTAGATGATTATTAGTGTGTTTTTTTTTAGTGTTGTCTTATGATACGGCTGGGAGACTTTTCAGTTATGAGACACTATTTGCTTTGTAATGAATTGATAACTTTTGAAATGTAATAGAATAAAAACATAACAACATTTAAATTATGTTTTTTGGTAAATAACTTGGTAAATGGTCAAGTTCGATAAATGTAAGAGGTAAAAACCGCATCTGCTACTTTAATTCCCCTCTAAGCCCCTCCCCCATCCTCTCCCCCTCCCCTTCCCCCACCCCCTTCCCCACCCAAACCCCTTCCCTCACCCCACCCCTCCCTCCCCTCCCCCACTCAAACCCCTTCCCCTTCCCTCACCCCACCCCCTCCCCCCTCAATAGCCTTCTTCTCGTGGGGAACTTATTGTTGATCCCAAAATGTGCAAGGAAGTTTTGTAGAATGATCAAATGATCCTCTCACTTTAAGACATTTGTTTTATCTTTGCAACCTTTGATTTGTCACAAAACCGTCTTTTTATAGTCTTACTACACAGCGATAGGTAATGAAAGGATGAAATTATTTTCAAAACAAGATACGGCGATGAGCTCGTTCAGGTGAAGGCGGCTATTCTATTCAATGAATAAAGAGGGTACGTTTCTAAAGAAACTGTGGAGCTGCGTCAGTGGAAGAGTATAACAGGGTAATTAAGTATCACTGACTGAGTTGATAACTCAGCGAGCGTTAACCCTTCGTCAGAGCGATTGTCGAAGGGCTAACGCTCGCAATGTCAACTCTTTACGGTGGCCAATTTACGTTACCAACTCAGTTGATAATACCTAACAACCCTATTCTATTAATTGGTTTATCGATAACATGGCACCTTGCTGCGTAATCGCGGGTGGTCTCTAATTTTAGAAATTTATGCGCAGAATGGAATACGTAAGCCAAGGAGGAGTGTGAGACGGACTATTACTACAAAGGGAGGGGTGGGAGGTGGTTGAAATAGGAAACGCTGCTGGTTAATGGAGCTTTTACTCGATCGTACAAACAATTTGAATTGGTTTTTCGACTGAGTTTTTGTATGTCAAAATTTAAGCTCTGGGTCACGGCGTATCTTCATTTTTTTGTCATGCGGAAGCGAAACTGCCACGTTAATACTGGACTTTAATTTGTATTGAAAATATCGCGTTTACGATCCTCCACTGTTGAGTTATGCGTGCACCTTTTGAGTCAATTTGTGCACTATCAGTTGCTTCAAGTTTCCTTTGTGTATACGGTATGTAATTATTAACTTTAACTATCTTCCTTTTGTCATTGATCTTATCAAACGAGATCACGGAATTTCCGGTCTTTAGCCCTTAACTTGGCAACATATAGAATTCACAAGCGCTATTGCAATTTTAAAGTTTATACCTTTACTATTAAAAATCATCAGCGAACGATTTTGAAGAGGAATCCATGCTCTCGAATCGACCAAAAACACTGCTGTACTCTCAAAATGGGAAAGTGCAAATATCGATTTCATCTGTTTCGCAAACAAAGGAGTTAATCACCGACACCGGAAATCGCGACCGGGTATTCCTCGCGACTCCCCTAGGTTTGTTTTCCAATTTACCCAAGCCGCTGTCGATCAGTTCTTGCGTTAAGACCTATGAAACCTGCGAAGTGGAACTATGGTGGCTACTGTTGCTTGCCGATAATTTCCGTCGGCAAAACGTAAAAGTCCAGTGTTTCGTGGTAGTTTCGCTTTCGCATGACAAAAAAATGAAGAAACGCCGCGACCCAGCGCAAAAAATTTTGACATTAAAAAAACTCAGTCGAAAATCCAACTTGTAGTAATAGTCCGTCTCACACCCCTCCCTGAGTAATAACACTCTGCCTCCCACCCCTCCCTCAGAACTGATAGACTTCATCCCACCCCTCCCTCAGTAATAATGGTGTGCTCCACCCCCCCCCCTCTAAAATGGTCCCAAAAAAAAAAAAGTCCAAAAAAATGGTCCAGTCCATATTTTACCCTATGCCGTAAAGTTTCATCTCGCGCATGCCTAGACCAAAGATACTATCGGCAAAGTGACAAACTTTCCATTGGCAAGTTGAAGTTCTTCAAACGAGAAGTCTTTTTTGTCCAAGTTTATTACGATGCGGCTCGCAAAGGAACAGTGGCGTGGGAATTCCATTAAAGTTTCAGTAGATTCAAGTACTGAAGAAATTCAACCACATGACTGCACGTATCGCTACGTGTACCGTAACATTTGCGTTGCGTGACGAGAAGGTTACTAACAAGGTAATCTGATTACCTTTGGATTCTCACAAGCGTACGTAAATAGGAAAACAAAGAAGCAGAATATTGTATTGTTCACCAAATCGCGATGACTACCAAATTATTTACACTTCGCCCAACTGACGAAGAAATTATCTGGGTACTTGATGACCAGATAAAAGAAAACAGCTCTCCGGAGATAAAGAAGCTGCAATTTGGTCAAGATTCAATCGCTATCTAATCATGATTTTCAACATCAGATTTATTCAAGAATCTTCACAATGATAAGAAATAGTATTCACGTTGACTGAAGGTCAGGTCAACTTCAAAGATCGGTCAACAATATGAAACATTGACGTTTGAAAATTCTAGAACCACGCAAAAACACGTAACCCGCGTAACGTGATAGTGGAAAGAAGTAGAGAGTGTTTAAACGGTTTTTATGTACGTGCCTAAGGGGTTTCCGCTAATTCTCCGCGAGACAAATCAAAGCAGGTTGGGTCGTTTATAAATATAACTTCGGTGCGTCTTTCTGTTCATTTGTGTGGATATCGCTTAAATCTTAAAAAGGTAAATTACCTCGACATAGTACACCTCAACCCGCAAAATTTTATTTATCAGTTATGGAGAAGCTTTACAAGACACGCAGTGAAACCTACCTTTGGCAGGTAAATCCGAAATTCTGGAAAGAGCCTTTGCCGAAGCAGAAGAAAAAACTAACAAAAGGAAAGAGCTGCCTTCCGTATTCGCCTCCATCTTATCGTTTTATAAACAACAACTTCGGTAGTTTGGTATCGTCTCAAGAAGGAGATTTTTGCCGGCTAAAAGAGTGCGCTGTGTTCAGAAGAAGACCAAGTTGGCATAGGAGACGCTTTGTGCTATTGGAAGATAAGCTATACTGTTATGACAAGAGGGAAGAAGTGCTGGTGTTCTCCGAGATCATAATGATGTCCAATGTCACGTCTTTGACTGTTCAGAACTCTATATGCATTAAGATTTCCCAGGTTGATGGGAGTATTAGAATGTTAAGATTCTCGTCTTCAGAAGTCAGAAACGCATGGCTCACGGCCTTATTGACAGCTAAGGCAGTCAATTTACTGAAGTACCAGTAATACTTTGAGAGGTATCACTACTTCAGTAAATAATCTGAACATTCAAGCATGTAATTATTCAAGTTAAACTCTCTCCAGGTATAAATATACTCTTGGACTACAGATAAGGTTTGAAACAATATTGTAATAATGAAAAGAAATTTTTTAAAATCTCCTCAGGAAAAATATAAAAAATTTCAAGGATAAAGTCAAGTCAAGGTTAAAACATTAATTATTTAGTCGTTCAAGGAACACAAATATAGATTCCCCAGAAATTGTTGCGCTTTTATTTTGTAAAGCCTTTTCATTAAAGTGACCTTTGAGATAATCGTAAAACGTGATTACTTTCAATATTCAATCTTTTAAGAGGGAAACAAGCACCTTTTATTGTCAGATCAATAAATTTGTATATAAATATTTAACTTTAAGAAAAGTCCAGAAGAGCTGGGATTATTCATGTAAAAGTTAATCTTTTTTCGACCATAAAATCCCTTTGATTGCAATGACCGATAAAGGTAAGCTTTAAAAATGTATCTGTAGGTCGCGAACCTAGGATGTCATTCCTTTAAATAGTTCATCTCGTTGAAAATGCGCAGTTCAAATATAAACATTTGACTGAGCAACACAAGATGGGTGGCATGTTTACATAGCACCTCTTTAGCTCATCCGCCAGTCTGAACGGAAGAAAAGGTCAAATTAAATGAGTTTATTTAAACACACACTTCGGCGACTAAAAATATCTCTCACTAGAGTGGCTTCAGAACCACAAATATTAGAGGAATCTTCTGTTTATCTTACCTATTTCCTCCCTACATTTCTCAAACAGTGATTTTCTTTGCTGATTGACATAGATATGTTAACTCTGAGAATTTGGGAGTTGATCAGACAACATCCCTTTTCTTTATTCTCGTCACCAATGAGCTTGCCTTTGTAATGATAGGTTGGAATAGTGAATTGGTCAACAGTCCCGGTAAAGGGGCTAAAACTCTACAATGAAGATCATCAAAAATATGCTTAGCATTTAGTAATGACAGAGAGAAAACCATTACAATCTGGCTACGTGACTTGAACAAGTCTAAACAGTGGAAAAATCAATGAACATGTATTTTCAGACGCATTAAAATCGAACTTGTTCTCAAAAATTCATCCTTTAATACGACATTGAAAACATGATAGCGAATGACAGTTTTAGGTATATTGCATTGAACGTGAACTGTGGTGAGTGGTTACCACGCACAAAAACACTCTTACAACTATGCCGCAAGAAATAAGAAACCACAAAAGTCCAAAGATGAAAAGGCTCTGCTCGGGACATCACCTACGCTCGTCACTCGCAGCACGTTCAGTTGAAAGTCTCATTAAATTCAATGTTTTTTCGATGAGACTGAAGTTGAACCACGACACAAATAACATTCATGACCGACACGCTTTGCACACTTCTTTTAATTCGTTTGATTTTGTTTTTGAATATTTTCTTAAAGCTACTTCCATTTTCATGAACTGATTGAGCTATTAAAATTCTGACTAATATATGACGTACGATTCATTTACCTCTACAAAAATATACTTTTAATATGCCTAACTACTAAGTTGCTTTTTTAGTGGACGACTCTCTACAGGTGAGTATATTTTTAAAAAGTTGTGTGACCACAGGAAAGAAAACAAATGAAAGCTAACTATGTCAGTATTTAACATTGGAAAGCCACAAAAAATATACTCTTGGCATATCTACAATTGACATATAGCAATAAGAATTGACTTAACCTTCGTATTAAAACATTCGAGAGAGAGAAGCTTTATGTCACCACTTATATCATTCCAAACTTTAGCATCCTGGAACCTTATAATGAAAATTCCATTTAACAAATAGAGAAGCCTTAGTTGTGTTCTGTTTTGTTGTAAAGCACACAGGAAACGGTTAGAGCACGAAAGAAGAGTAGGGAGGAACACGAAACGTATTCGAGTATTTCTCTCCACTTAGCCGCTTCCTAAGTGCTTTACAGGAGAACAGAGCACAGCCAAGGCTTCTCTGTTTGTTTTATAATAAAGCCATGATGAGCTAGCCGCGTAGGACCTTAGCAAGATCGCGGTCGCTCTGACACCGTCATGATTAGTATGAATTTCCACTGTTATGCCAGTTTGGCTAGATTTTTCATCATTCCTGTTTTGTTCTGTTTTGTTTTTGAACACGAAACTATGTATACTACACGAGTGTTAGCTGTGTTTGATTTTTAATACCGTAAGTAAGCTTGCAATCTAACTGAGTGTGAAAACCTTCAAAACTCGAACTGTCCACTTCGTTTTCTCTTTGAGGATTTTCGTTTCTGCTAATTGAATGATTTAGCAAGAGGATGAGAACGTCATTTCAGAACGGGAAAGCGCGTGGATAATCTGGACACGACTCTATTTCGACTTCCGGTGTTAGGGTTGCTGTTCAGGACGTAATTTCGCTGCGATTTGCGTAAATGATACACTTATAAACGAGATAATGCTGTTTGGAATAATTTCAGAACTCATTTCCAGGATAACCAGGTCCGTTTCTTTGTTTCATTCCACGTATTTGTGAAAATTTACCGCTAAATTTATTCTGGATTTCCGAAAGGAAACACGATCGTTAGAAGCGATCCAAGAATTCGGGGTTCAGTTCGCTTTATTTAGCAAGGTTTTAAACGACGTAAGGGCTTTTCTTTGATACATTTCTTTAACCCTATATGAAAAATCTACGAATGGGATGCTGTTAATTTTATTGTGAATCAATTCTTCAAATAAATTAAACTTGCTTCATGTTGAAGTTTATCAAAATGAAATATCCCAAGGCTTACCTACTGTATTATTCAGTGTTATTTGTTGTCAATCTCGTGTTTACCATGATTAAAAAATATTCTGCAAGTTGAAGTCAGAGAAAAAATTTAAGAATAGCTTGGGTTTGCACTTTTTTACGTCTTGAATTTTTGATCAGCGCCGATGAAAACTAAGACAAGAAAGTCATGCAGCTAGATTCATTATGGATGCTAGTTCTAAGGCCTCTTCTGTCAGATTATTTGATGATTTAAGTTGGTTACCTTTATACGAGGAGGCTAAAATTTCCATATATCTAATTGCATTTTAGAGACTACGAGGAGAAATGCCTGCGTATATTACTCGCCTTTTCACACGTATTGGTGATCTTCACTCTCGCAACACTAGATATGCAAACTATAACTTAGTTTGCCCAAAGTTTAAACGTAAATTAGATGGCGGTAAAACTTTCAATGTTACCACATGTCAACTATGAAACAGTTTACCTATCACTATACGACAAATGACATCAGTACTAAGCTTTACAAAGGCCTTAAAGCAATTTTTTTCTCGGAATCCAAAAGTTTGAATCATTTTATAGTTTAATATGTTTTTATGTTTTAGTTTCCTGACTCTGTCATTTAATCCTTGAGATCTACTTTATTTCAGATTTTATCATACGATTTACAAACAATACTCACGAGCAAGTAGTTGAGACATAACCTATTAACTGTTAGTATTTTTATCGTCCAATTACAGGTCGGAGCCACTCTTGTCCTAAGTCGCTGCATAAAGGTGTATGGTTCCTAGTTTCGAATGTACGATCAGCTTTTACGGAATATTCGGTCAAAATCTGCCGATTTCTATCATTTTCATCTCCATATTGAAAATAACGCTACCAAGATGCAACGCAATCAGAGTGGGCACAGAGTAAATCGAATCTAAGGCACTGTTTTCTGTTTTTTGAACGCTTACGAACTCGATCAGCGATCTTCGTCATGAAAAAGTTACATTAGTGACGTTTTCTGAACGGTTTTGACGGCCACAGTGTAGCATAACAGGAGAAACTTATGTGAGATCGGAAATGGCATCAAGGTTTCTTCGGTCTTACTTTGTGAAATCGACGGTGATATTTCGTGTGTTTTTTGGATTTCGTTTAAGATCGTGGGCCATGCTTGCTTGTAAACTTAACTAAAAACACTGTAACGTAACACACGCCTATATCTTATGCCCGTCCAGCCTCGATTCGGTGCGCCACGCAATCCAAGATGGCGCTGCGTGATAAGGGTGTTTATTACATAGATACTGATGAAATACCAGGATTTTTCCTTTCACTAAAAAAAAAACATATCTTCATCGCGCGCAGTGAATATACTATTTTTATTTTTCACGTGCGAGGATATTGATGTCGCCATGGTTACTAACAGCACGCGGCCGGTTCTTTTGAAATTATGTAGGAATTTCATCAGCATCTATAAAATAAACAGAACATTACATGGCCGCTTGGGGATACGAATTTTATCTCCTCGTGCTGAAAGTATCTCTTAAGAAGTGGTTGACTTTTGTAAGACAAATGATAAATATCCTGTGTTTTCTTATAAGTATTACATTAGTCGGTAACTAATTATGTTACTCTTTACAAAGTGTCTTCAAGCGAAGTACATTCCTTTTAACATCTCAGGGTGAACTTGGACAGCTTTTGCCAAAATCTGCGGGCTTCTGTCCTCTCCATGACCACCGCTGCAAGACGAACCATTCTCAGGGCTGAATGGAAAGAATTGCAAAAATAGTTTCACTAATATCAGGTGTAACAGAAAGAATTAGAATTTAAACTCACCTTCCTCCAGCTAGCTAAGCTTGGAGTCCTTTACCCCTCGGCTCTCAAATATCCCTACCCCTTGGATTTCAAACCCCCTCTACCAAAAGGACCTCAATCATCCTTCAACAATCAAGCCCTTAATTTACCCGTCCCTTGGGCCTCATCCCCCCTCCTCCGCCTATCCCTTAAACCGTAGATAACTCCCCCTGTATCCCCTGCCCTACGATTTCAGATTTCGTGGGTCTCTCCAGGAATTAAAACTTTTTGCTCGCGAAGCTTCTACAGTCCTTATCCGGAAGTCAAAGAGACAAATTCCACCAAGTTCAATTTCCCTGCCCGGGAATGTGATAATATTTTCTGATCTCACTTTTATGGTAAAAAAAAATTCCCAAATTTCCAATCATCAGTCATATTTATGCCTTGGCCAGTAAAGTTTATTAGGTTATGTGGAATTTCACCATCTTTCATGACTGGGGACACCCTTCGTCTACTGTGCACAATATCTCACCTTTCCCGTTCTCTTTCTATCAAATGAAATCGCGCTCTGAATGCCACCAAATGCGCATAATACGCGGGGGCTGGTATGGATACTGCTCGTGTGCACCTGACGTAAGTATGACACAACTGATACGTGAGGGCCTGGATCTCGTCTGCTTTGAAATTATTGTCGTCCCACAGGACGTGATAATGCGAAGGTCGGCTGGTGCCCTGCAAGAGGAATGGGCGGGTTCATTAGCGTCTTGTCTTTATTCTAAACACAACCAAACAAGCCAAGGGGTGGTGATACTACGGATCGCTTCATGCAACGGAAAGCAGCATTAAGTTGGGCAGCTGTGTAACCCGGTGTTGTATCTAGACTTTTTCTTTTGATAAGAAAGGCCACGAAATACAAATGGCATGAGTTGGGCGTGCTAAGGAGCTTAGAAATCCCCCCGCTAAAGGGAGGAGAGGTCAGAAAACTCTCGAAGAACGATCAGAATTTAAATTCTTCTTCTGATCCCTTTTTAAAATAATTCGGTCCTCCCAGACACCAATAAATCCTCGATTTCCGCGAGGCATCTAGGTACGTAGTAAATTCCCAAGATGTGATTGTTGATTCTCCCTACCAGCTGATTCAAACTCCATTGTAAATTTGCCAAGAGAATCTAGTGTTCCATCAAGTTCACATCAGGACCAACTGATACAATGTGTAAGTATTCTCACCAACTGTTTGCTTTATGTTTAACAAAAATCTGGGGAGAGGTTTTATGTAACTAAGCCCTGAGAATTAGAGAGTGACAAAGCCTTACCTGAATTCCAGCGTGACTGCAGAGGTAGAAGTCAAACTCAGTGGGGTGAGTTATACCAACATCAACTGTGGTTCCGGGGGGAACGTTTTGACTAATTCCACACTAAAACCAACCACAACAAACAAATTAAATGTGTGAAAACCTAAATGAAGCGGAATCCGCCAAATTCAGCAATAGGAGTAAGGACGCATTGATGATCCTCTTTTTCCCTTTCAACACTTTGACCCCAAAGAGTGACAAGCATCTAATTTCTCCTTACAATATCATCCCTGAAGAGAATAAGGGAATTGATCATTAGCTGAAGAAGCTCTTAATTTTTGGAAAAATTCCCCTTGTCATTACCTTAGGAAATGTAAAGAGAACAGAACGGAGAATATGAAGACTGGTATTAGGCTGAAAGGGATTAAGAAACACTTTCCTCCCTTTCTCTTGAGTTAAGAGAAATAAAAATCTGCGCATTCCCGCGCGCATAGCCACGCGAGTGGTTTGTTTACAGCACATTGATGAGTCAAGGCCTGCGGGCGGGGGAAACTGGGGCTAGTGCTCTAACTAAACCTCCAGGAAAACGTTGTGTTTTCCACTACTTTCCTCCCCAAAATTATATTTTTGTACCTAAGAAGATAAATACGCTCTCGAGACATTTTCGTCTAAAATTTACAGAAAGATATTGAAGAAGAAGTAAAACATGGCGAGCCAGTTTCATAAGCCATACCATGTCCTCTTTATCCTGACAGAAAAATCTGGTGTGATGTCTTTTCTGCACAACAATGAAAGTGATGCCCGGCTGGTACCCAACTTCCAGCTTGATGCAAGCCTCACGGATGGCTTTTAGTTCGTGACACAACACCTAGTGACAAATTTAGGGTCATAACAATTTTAGTTCAAAAAGTTCGCGAAGAACTTCGTACACTATTGAACACTGACTGGTCTTCCTGCATGTGTTATTGTATGCAATGTTTTTGGCAAAGACACAAGTTTCAAAGTATTACTATCTTATCTAGAATAAAAAAGGAGCAGCAATATTCTTCAGTTTAAACAACGTAAAACGGAAAAATATTCGGCAGGAATAGGCAGCAAATAATATTCACCCATGAACCCCTGTAACTACTATAACTACCTCACCTGTCTAAACTGGCCTTCACTGACTCCATCACGGTAGAAAATGATCCTGACTGGCTTGTGTCTCGTCGAACGATAAAACTGAATCAATAGCTCGCGGACCATGGCCGCTAATTCCGCAATGATTTCCTGTAAAATAAATCATTGAGCGGAGTCTAAGATCACGTGAGAGTAGGAAAAACAAAATGTTTTCTTCAAAAGCCCATGGAGTGCGACTTCGACTGCATTCTCGCGCGACTATCGTACCTGTCGATGTGTCTGAACTCGAACTGAAGCACAGTACCGGCTGGGATGAGCATCCATACTGCCGACAACCTACAAACACAAAAAGTTATCTTTAGGTTTTCCATTTATAATCTATTTGTTTTCAAGTCAAAGTAAATTCATGTCGCTGAGTGCATTTGTACAAATGCACGCTTCAAGAGGGGTTTTATTGGGGAAAGTTCTTGCAACAAATTCCACGGGCTTCACTGTGACAATATTGGAGAGAAAAAAGGACACGTAAAAATAACAACAACAACAAAAACTACGAAACAAACAGAACAGGAGAGATACCGAATAAAACAACGCTCAACTTACAGCAGCAATTGATGGTCGTTTTTCATCCCCAGCTGCAGGGTGAGTTACATCAGCTCCAAGAAATATCACAGGTTCACGAAACACAGGAAGTCTGTAAACATGGATTCAAATATTTAAGAACCAGTCGTAATTACCACCCAAGGGAAAGGGAGGATACGAGGATTTTGAGGGGGAACGGAGTGGGGAATCAGTCGTCATCAACAAAGTATAAATGAGAGACTATAGAAAATTGACATCCAACGAGTGAGGAAATATAAGAATATTACAGAGCCGTCTGGGGGATCTGGTAAATCTAATCGTGACACGACAAAAGAATAGAAACATTCCAAGATAACTGGACGTAATTTGCCGAGCATATGCATACATGAACTAGTAAAGAATAACAGACGTGCGAAAAAATCGTTTTCTCGCAGATTTCTCTCAACAACCCAAACTTCTCCCATCCGTTCCAAGCCTGGCATATCCCCATCCCTCCCCCCTCCGCTGCCCCTGTAAGTACCACTAAGTACATCAATCTTACCGAACATCTGGGGCCAAAATATTGTTTATTCCTCCGAGCTTGGCATTTATCTTTAGGCACAGATTTGACAGTGTTTGAGCTTGGAACTTGGTTACGTTCTTAGCTTGCACACACTGAGTAGCGATTCCCAGCATTGTATCACCGACTCGTTTGACTTCAGCTATAAGAGAAATGTGAACAATACAACATTGAGAATCTACAATCTATAAAGGATCAAAGTCAAAACATTCAGTGCGTCAATCAGTGAGTCAGTGAGTCAGTGAGTCAGTGAGTCTGTCAGTTAGTCAGACAGTCAGTAAGCCGGTCAGTCTGTCAGCCGGTCATTCAGACAGTATTGAAAGATACTCGCACTGTGAATTTGTCGCCTCTCCTTCCTTTTTTTCTTTAACTCACCATATACGGGCGTTTTCCCAGGCAACACAAGAATAATGAGCTGAAGATTGGCAAAGGTAGATTTCAAATGTTTAAACATGGGCTCAACCTGACAAGAAAAAAAAAACGGCAAATCTCTTCCATCTCTTGCACTTCACACATAATTCACGCAAGGCGAAAACTAGAATATAGTTTTGTAAAACGAAGAATGAGGGTCGTGTTTATCTATACAAGTTTCTATGCAAATGTCTTTCCCAGTTGTTTTGCATGTAGGAGATGGGAAATTTTTATTCCTGGTAGTTTGCATTTGAAAATAGTTTCCTTTCCTAGAGGTCTCCTCGGTTTCGAAGACAGATGAAGACAATTGGAACACCTCGAGTGTGTTTTTACCTGAGACTAATGAAATTTACTTTTGAAACGATACACAGAGAACTGCTCAATAAATGATTTTTTAACTTAACTACAGCAGTCAAACGTAAGTAAACCTATCACGACGTTAAGGAGAATTTTGAAGTTGAGCTACTCACATCCTCCGCTCTTTTAGCGTATTTACAGAAGCATGGTTCAGATTTGATTGGCATCCCAGTCTCGCCACTAATCTTCATCAGCTGATGGGCGAAGCTCTTCAATACTCTGTCGTTGACTTCCCGTGGGTCGACAAAGCAAGCGATGGCCCAGACTTTTATCTCAATGCCGTGAAATAGCTGCTTCCCCCTCATATCCCATGCTCCTGGAAAGCAAAGAATGAAAATGAAAGTTAGGCGGTGCAAAAACAGCATAAAAATATATGGAGACGAAGATAGTTTTATAACCAGCGACTGGAGTAATTTTCTTCATGACAATGAGAATTAT